TATCTAAGTTTATATTTTAGTAGTTAATTATATTCATAGTGTTTTGATTTCTAGTATATAGATCCTATATTCTTACATTCGCCACACCCAGACATCATTGTTGTTCAAGTGCTTGACTAAATCTTTGAAGGTTGCTTGGTGAATGAATATTCTGTGAGGAGTGACAATGCAGGGAGCTCAAATGTTTATAGGCAAAATGGGATGAATGGTCGGTTATGCTTTTACTTGGAGACTATTTTTTTTTTTCTTGGAGAAGAAAATAACGAAGGAGAGAGACTTGCCGATATGAACATGTGACTTTATTCATGTGTTTGTTGTCTTATTCGTGTTCTCCAAGAAATAATTATCAGATTGAATAGTGGTTGGGACTCTCTCTCCTAACAGTTTTTTTAATCAAATATTGATGATGAATGAATGATGGTCTAATTTTGTAGAAAGGATTCAGACTAGGTGTTTACGTGTGCTACATGCTAAGTCACCAACCTATTCAAAATCTACACAAGAATGTTAAAATGGATTAAAGAGATATGGGCAAATGAAGAAAAACTTACTAGTTTCTCTAGAGAGTGTGACTCTTCTCAAGAGAGTGTATTTGTAATTTATTTTTATCCTTTAAAACAAATAAAGAAAATATCATGACGATACCTAAATGTGAGTGGATGAAAGGGTTAACGATATTTGATTAACTTGATTTCTTATAGGTATATTATACTCGATGTATTTTAAAATGTAAACGGTTAGGATTATCAAAATGGGTCTTGAAATAGGCCCAATTTGCCTCACAGCAGTGGCTACTGCCCTCTAGGAAGTAGGGATGGCAATTTGAACCCGAACCGACGGTGACCCGACCCCCCGACCCCGAATTCAGCGGTTATTCACCGAAAAATATCCCCTACGGGCCGGGGACGGTATTTAAAAATTCATCCCCGATGATATCCGGGCCGGGGACGGGGATATGTGTTTCAGAACCGGCCCCGGCCCTGGTCCCGCCCCGCATGGTCCCCGAGGTAAAATGACCCTTTTGTCCCTGGATATATATATATATATATATATATGCATATGCTTGTCTTTTTTAGGGTTTCACAGACACACACACTCAAAGCCTCTCACACTTATGCCACTCATCTCTCTCTCTCTCTCTCTCTCTCTCTCTCTCTCTCGCCACTGGTCTGTCCCTCTCTCTTCCCTCCGTCACCGCCGCGCCTCCCTCCGTCACCGGCGATCCTCCCTCCGTCACTCAAAGCCTCTCACACTCACTCACGCTGCTCCTCTCTCTCTCTCTCTC